TGTTTACTTTCACCTTTTCATTTAGGGAAACTCCTGAGGTAAATAAGTGATGTCTCTGAACTTTAATAATAAATCTAAATAAAATGCAGCGCTTCCCACCTCAAGTCGCAATCACTTCTGGGACTTCCAGAGCGAGTTCGGTGCTCAAGTCTGCATCGGTGCGTCCTCGATATCAAGATCACATCTGGGACGTTTCACACGTCCTCCGTACTTGCGGTCTGGAGTATTGGAACTGAACTTAGGCAGCTGAGGATGACGTTACACGAGGACGCAAGACCGCTGAAGAACGCATATTGAGAAACAGCCAATGACTTGGTATGCAGTTCACTTGTGGAAATACCTAATTCCCTGTTTGGTGTGAACCCAGCATGAAAGTGTAATTACCTCTGCCTGTTGGTTCAGCATGCCCTTAACATGCACCTCAATGTGTGCTTTTGTATTTGTTATGTAGACGTAGATTTTAAAAAAAAATGAAAGCAGGGAAAACTTAAACAATACTGCTGTGAATGAGCACAAGGCCTAAGCCTTGTCTGTGAAACTGAGGATAACAGTTCAGATAAAGAATGAAAGCTGAATTCAGAATAGCATAAAGCATTTAATATTACACCGTTCTTAAATTAGCCTCCATATGTGCATTTATTTAATTTATGGGCAGAAAAAAATTGAAACCTTAACAACCAATAAGGATCAGGCAGAGCATAAGCTCCCACTAGTGCAAGTCTGGAGAATCATGACTCCTAATGAAGAGGGCGGGATCATCGTTAAGCTAATTGACCTCTGTAGAGTACAAAAAGGCCAAAGGGCAACATCTCAGCAGTGCATCTAGCTGGTGAACAATGGCAACTAGCTGGTCTTTGCTTCAGTTTCTGGGACTTTGTGCCTGGTTTGGTGCTTTTTGTTCTGCTTCTCCACATTGGAAACATGGACGTCATCCTCATCATCCCCATCGCCCTCATCATCCTCATGGTTTGACGGTGCAGCAAAGTGATTATCTTATTAAGGAGATCGTTCAGCCACAGGTCAGCCAACCACTTCCTGTGCGGGTTGAAGAGGTAGTGGTGAAAGCAGGGCCTGTTGACAAGTGTAGTGTAGCTGATTTGGGCCAGATTCAGTGTGGACCTCCTGGTATCAGTGGACCTGACTGTGAAGCCATCAACTGCTGCTTTAATGGACAACAGTGCTACTATGGAAATGCAGGTAAGAGCTGCTGTGGGTAAAGGAGTTCTGTTTAGCTGATGCCTTGTGTTAATCTGCTTGTACCTTGTTTCAGTCACTGTCCAGTGTATAAGAGATGGTCAGTTTGTGGTAGTGGTGGCTAGAGATGTTACAGTGCCTCGGCTGAGTCTGGATACGGTCAGTCTTCTGGGTGGGAATGATCCCCCTTGCAGTCCTGTGGCGTCCAACCCTTACTTTGCTGTATACCAGTTTCCTGTCAGTGCTTGTGGAACCAACGTGATCGTGAGTATTGAGCTGCTTCTGAATGCGGTTCTACATGGACTGGATGTGAACGGTCTTCCTGTTTGCAGGAGGAACGTGGACATGTGGTGTATGAAAACAGAATGGTGTCCTCCTATGAAGTGGCCATGGGACCGCTCGGCTCCATCACAAGAGACAGCCAGTTTGAGTAGGTGATCTCTGCTCTTCTACTGCATGTGTGTGTCTAATAAATGCTACAGGCTCCCTATCTGTTGTCCAGGGTTCTGTTCCAGTGCCGGTACTCTAATACAGCTGTGGAAGCTCTGGTTGTGGAGGTCAATGCTATTCGTGCACCTCCACCAGTCGCTGCTCTTGGACCACTCAGAGTGGAGCTTAGACTGGCTAATGGCCAATGTGTCACCAAAGGCTGTGCTGAAGGTAAACACTGGACCAGAGTCTGCCTGAAGTCTTCCTATTAGTTTCTAGATGAACATGTTGTGTTCCACAGGGGACGAGGCGTACACATCCTACTATAATGAAGCTGACTACCCAGTCACCAAAGTCCTCCGGGAGCCTGTGTATGTTGATGTGCACATTCTGGAGAGGACTGACCCCAACATTGTCCTGATGCTGGGTAACTGCTGGGCAACATCAACCCCCGATCCACTCAGTGTGCCCCGGTGGGATCTGCTGGATAATGGGTGAGTGCAGTCCTAAGCAGAAGCCCAGTTAGTGATGCTAGTTCTGACTCCTATGGTGCTTTCTAGATGCCCCAACCAGGATGACCGCTACCTGACCACACTGGTTCCAGTGACCGCATCATCTGGTGTTCATTTCCCCAACCACCACAAGCGCTTCATTGTCAAGATGTTCACCTTTGTAGACCCACAGTCTCTGTCTCCTGTGCAGCAAACGGTATGACTATCTACATGCACTGTAATATGCTTTCAGGCCTTTTCTTAATGTGTTCTCTTTGCTTGTTCAGGTCTTCATCCACTGTAATACAGCAGTGTGCTACCCTTCAGCTGCTCAATCCTGTGAGCAGAGTTGCGCAAGGAAAAGTGAGTATTTTATTTATTTTGATCCTTGTTTTTATTGCAGTGTTTGACGTTCTGTTTTCTACAGGAAGGGATGTTTCCAGCATGCCGATCTCGAATGAGAATACTGTTTCTAGTGGACAAGTTACTCTTCTGCCTTAATTTCATGTTCTTTTTAATAAACTACCTGAAACGAAGTGACTTGTGTTTAGTATCTGAATTCTGTTTTAGTGTGTAACTTCTAGTATTTGCTCATTACTACTGCTCTCCTGGCAAGACTTGGTTCATTGTGTCACCTTTTTTGATCAGGAGATTTATTCTGAAACTCTATTCAAAATGCTTTCTGCCATGAATGGGAGGTTTTACATTAGTCTTTAAACTGTTCGTAAATGTCGTTCAGTACTTTGAGGGCTATAAATTGAGTTCCCTCAATCAAAGATGTGGCAGTTTAGAGTTAACCTTGACTACTTAAACACCATGGCTTTTCGCTTAGTGGGTCAGTACAGGACCAAACTGTTTCCAGTGAAAGTTGTGCCTGGACTAATTTCCCCTACCACATGTTTGTAAACTACCTAGTGAACTGTTTCAAAGGGTTATGCTATATTCTCTGCAGAACATGGATTTGGTTTACAGAGAATTGTCGTTTTGTACAAATGTCTTACATGTAAGGCTTTGATTCTGTTATGATAAACTAAAGACATGGTCCTGACTTCAATTATACAATATTGCTAAGCAACGCCAACATTTTAACAGGTTGAACAGCTACAAACTAAATTGGGGGTTGCAATGTGTTTTTTATTTATTTTATTATTATTTTTTAATATTCTCAAGCAAGCTTCACTCTTAACCTTTGTCACTTATGCAGAAATTGAATTTGGGGGTTGACTATGTGATTTACAAAAGCCTACTGAATTGTATGTTTGTTCTTTAAAGACTCAGTGTACATCTCTGATACAACATTTTTTCATTCTGGTGTTGAGTGGCAAAGTGGTCAAACTATATTTATTACAAAATACACCACACAAAATGATACTATGACAGGCCTAAAAAGCAGCTACAGTAGTGTAGGTATGTAGAAATGAACCATAGTCTGACTTCAAAGCAGATCTTGTGGCCAAAAAGTATGGGATCTGTGTCTTCAGTCTTTTATGGGCCTGTTTATATGCCATGTGAGACACTGACCACTTTCTTTGTGTGGACTTACTGTGCATCACATCTACATAGGTAATAGGGATAGAGCAGGGGTGGCCAACCCTGTTCCTGGAGAGCCACCTTCCTGCAGATTTCAGTTGCAACCCATATCAAACTAACCTGAGTCATTTAATTAGGACCTGAACACCACGTGATGATTACAGGCAGGTGTGTTTAATATGGGTAGCAACTGAAGTCTGCAGGAAGGTAGATCTCCAGGAACAGGGTTGGCCACCCCTGGGATAGAGCATGCAAAAAATGCAGTGTGTGGCTGACCTATTTTGCTGCTTTACATGAGAATGACGTCAATTGCTACTTCCAAGTGTATACTTATCAGTTGATTTTAATGGCGTACACCATGCCTATTGGCAATTCTGTTGGCAGTTAAAATGCAAGCCTGAACACTGTTACCTGTACAGCACCAATACTGCTCAGTGTAAACAAGCCATTGTGGGTGGGGAGAGTAGATTAGGACAAGTCTTGCACAGTTTCCTTTGTATCTGAACTGTGGCTTCTGCCAATTATTTTTGGCCGTCTAAGATATTTGCAAATGCTTAGTCCCCTTGATTTTGCATCAAAATCTGTAGTCTTTGATCACTAATTTGAGATGAACATAGAAAGCCAATTGAGCACAGTACAGATCAGGATTCACCTTGGCAGAGGTTTTGCCTGTGTCAGAAGGTTTGAGGCACAGTCCTGCAGTGTGGATTTATGAAAATGACTAAAATACAGAACCTATAAATGCACACATCCTGACTGAGCAGTTAGTCTGACAACAAACTACAACATGTTCTACACACACTGTCTGTTTTGTTCCCTTTCCAAAGAAGGGCCTTACTAAAATCAACATGGCTGTTTGTTTGCTAGTCTGACAAGTAACAGTTCAAAGACCGGTTATAAATTGTCCAGCATGTGTCTGGATAAACATGTACAATATAGTGGTGAGGTTAATCAACTTGAATTGTGGACACTTACCCAGCCACTATCTGCACAAAATAAAACAATTCAAAAATGGCTAAATCATTAATAAATTAATTAAGAAAATGAAGAATTACACATGGTATTTATTTCGCACACACAAACTCTAGTATGACCGCAGCTTTAGTTCAGATAATAAAGAAATTCTGAATTGCATATGGAATATCTTAATATGCTGTTCTTAAATCTGCCCAATGTGTGCGTTTATTTACTTTTGATTTGGGCGAAAAAGGAAAAAAAAAAGGAAAAGTCTTAACAACCAATAAGGATCAGGCAGAGCATAAGCTCCCACTAGTGCAAGTCTGGAGAATCATGACTCCTAATGAAGAGGGCGGGATCATCGTTAAGCTAATTGACCTCTGTAGAGTACAAAAAGGCCAAAGGGCAACATCTCAGCAGTGCATCTAGCTGGTGAACAATGGCAACTAGCTGGTCTTTGCTTCAGTTTCTGGGACTTTGTGCCTGGTTTGGTACTTTTTGTTCTGCTTCTCCACATTGGAAACATGAACGTCATCCTCATCATCCCCATCGCCCTCATCATCCTCATGGATTGACGGTGCAGCAAAGTGATTATCTTATTAAGGAGATCGTTCAGCCACAGGTCAGCCAACCACTTCCTGTGCGGGTTGAAGAGGTAGTGGTGAAAGCAGGGCCTGTTGACAAGTGTAGTGTAGCTGATTTGGGCCAGATTCAGTGTGGACCTCCTGGTATCAGTGGACCTGACTGTGAAGCCATCAACTGCTGCTTTAATGGACAACAGTGCTACTATGGAAATGCAGGTAAGAGCTGCTGTGGGTAAAGGAGCTCTGTTTAGCTGATGCCTTGTGTTAATCTGCTTGTACCTTGTTTCAGTCACTGTCCAGTGTATAAGAGATGGTCAGTTTGTGGTAGTGGTGGCTAGAGATGTTACAGTGCCTCGGCTGAGTCTGGATACGGTCAGTCTTCTGGGGGGGAATGATCCCCCTTGCAGTCCTGTGGCGTCCAACCCTTACTTTGCTGTATACCAGTTTCCTGTCAGTGCTTGTGGAACCAACGTGATCGTGAGTATTGAGCTGCTTCTGAATGCACTTCTACATGGACTGGATGTGAACGGTCTTCCTGTTTGCAGGAGGAACGTGGACATGTGGTGTATGAAAACAGAATGGTGTCCTCCTATGAAGTGGCCATGGGACCGCTCGGCTCCATCACAAGAGACAGCCAGTTTGAGTAGGTGATCTCTGCTCTTCTACTGCATGTGTGTGTCTAACAAATGCTACAGGCTCCCTATCTGTTGTCCAGGGTTCTGTTCCAGTGCCGGTACTCTAATACAGCTGTGGAAGCTCTGGTTGTGGAGGTCAATGCTATTCGTGCACCTCCACCAGTCGCTGCTCTTGGACCCCTCAGAGTGGAGCTTAGACTGGCTAATGGCCAATGTGTCACCAAAGGCTGTGCTGAAGGTAAACACTGGACCAGAGTCTGCCTGAAGTCTTCCTATTAGTTTCTGGATAAACATGTTGTTGTGTTCCACAGGGGACGAGGCGTACACATCCTACTATAATGAAGCTGACTACCCAGTCACCAAAGTCCTCCGGGAGCCTGTGTATGTTGATGTGCACATTCTGGAGAGGACTGACCCCAACATTGTCCTGATGCTGGGTAACTGCTGGGCAACATCAACCCCCGATCCACTCAGTGTGCCCCGATGGGATCTGCTGGTTAATGGGTGAGTGAAGTCCTAAGCAGAAGCCCAGGTATTGATGCTAGTCCTGACTCCTATGGTGCTTTCTAGATGCCCCAACCAGGATGACCGCTACCTGACCACACTGGTTCCAGTGACCGCATCATCTGGTGTTCATTTCCCCAACCACCACAAGCGCTTCATTGTCAAGATGTTCACCTTTGTAGACCCACAGTCTCTGTCTCCTGTGCAGCAAACGGTATGACTATCTACATGCACTGTAATATGCTTTCAGGCCTTTTCTTAATGTGTTCTGTTTTTTGTCTTTGCTTGTTTAGGTCTTCATCCACTGTAATACAGCAGTGTGCTACCCTTCAGCTACTCAATCCTGTGAGCAGAGTTGCGCAAGGAAAAGTGAGTCGTTGTTTTCTACTGATTGTCATTTGGCTATTGGCGCTGTTTAACTTTTTGTCTCTCTCTACAGGAAGGGATATTCCTGACCTTCAAATTTCTGATGACACTGCCGTGGTGTCTAGTGGACAAGTTACTGTGGTGCCTTAAGTTTTGTGTAACTTTTATTAATAAACTGCCAGAAACCAAGTTAAAGTTGTCTTGATCTGAATTTTGCTCGTTTCTTACCTTGGCTGTGCTTAGTTTACTGCATTTGGCATAACTGGCTTCTCCAAGGCTAGTCTTTAGCTTCATATTTTAATGGTGCCTGTTAGGATTTTATTGCTGCTGCTTAGTTGATTTGTGTAAAATGATTAAGCCCTTCACCTGAGAATCTGCAGTTTCCATTTTGATAGGACTACAAATGGACCAGTGACCTCTTACAATAAGTTTGTTTAATATTTACTAGCTTTATTTTATTTTTCTTAGATTAGGCCAACCTTTATGCATTAAGTTTATACATCTACATGCTCACCAGTGTGAGGTCCTAGCAGTTTGTAAAGTGAAAGTTAATACTAAAAATTACTGGAGGGGCATTAACTTTATAACAAGTATCTCATACTTAAAACATTAAATAACATTTGATTCCAAGCTCTAGTCAGCATAGTACTGCACTGTATTAAGTGGCAAGTTATGAATGACATGTTACAGTACGTCTTGTAAGGTATTTAGTTTAATGTTCTAGTACAGGGGTCACCAAACTTGTTCCTGGAGGGCTGGAGTCCTGCAGATTTAGCTCCAACTCTTAACACACCTGAACAAGCTAATCAAGGTCTTACTAGTTATACTTGAAGCATCCAGGCAGGTGTGTTGAGGCAAGTTTGAGCAAAACCCTGCAGGGACACAGCCCTCCTGGACCGAGATTGGTGACCCCTGTTCTTGTATGTGATCTTGAACCTATATAATTAGGACACTTAATTACAGTAGTTATTGCATGTTCTTGATGAAACTGTACTTTTTGATTTTCATTCTGGAAAAAAGTGGTTAAGTATAAAATACAAATTAAATTATTACAGTATTGTACAAAGTCATAACTGGCCAAAAAATATAACCTGAAACTATGATGGTATGCAGCAATGAACCAAAGTTAACCTGTCATCATAGCTGATCTTGTGGCCAACTATTATATGCCATAAAGAACAAGATTTGCTGCTATATTGTCTTCAGTTACTTGTGGGCCTGTTCATATGCTTGGTTTCCCTAAGTTAAAAAGTATGCCATCCATTTTAGATGCAGAAAAGCTAGTACATGCCTTTATGACCTCTAGGATGGATTACTGTAATGCACTGTTTGCTGGCTGCCCAGCATCCTCTATTAACAAACTTCAGTTAGTACAAAACACAGCTGCCAGAGTTCTTACCAGCTCCACAAAATATGATCATATCAGCCCAATTTTATCCTCCTTACACTGGCTGCCTTTTAAGTTTCGTATTGAATTTAAAATATTGCTTCTCACCTATAAAGCTCTGAATAATCGAGCTCCTGTTTATCTAACCAACCTTCTGTCTTGCTACAATCCAACTCACTCTAAGATCTCAAAACTCAAGGCTTCTGGTAGTACCTAGAATAGCAAAGTCGACTAAAGTAGGTCGAGTCTTCTCATTTATGGCTCCTAAACTCTGGAATAGCCTTCCTGATAATGTCCGAGGCTCAGACACACTCTCCCAGTTCAACACTAAAGACCTATCTGTTTAGTAAAGCACACACTCAGTGCAGCACTCAGCGGTATGATGCATGAATGTGCTCCACACAGGTTTCTGCATCTCGTTTATATACACTATGAACAGCAGCTATGCTTATTATTCTCTTTATTCTCTATTTCCACCTGGGGATACTCATCCCGAGGCTCCCCAGAGACTATGCAGCACCACTGATTCGATCCAAGACCAGCGACGAGATGATCGCAAGGTTTCCATAATCCTGGACCAGGCCGTATCCTGAGCAGCTGCTGTGGTGGTCATGGAGGAGAGGAGAGCATGAGACTGATTCCTGTGACACTCCAGGGACAGACGAGTCTTCGCTAAGGTCCAGCTTCCAGCCTTCAGCGCCTAGACTGCAGCTCTACACAAGACATTTGACCAAAGGAGAAATGGTGGTGCCCAACTGAGCCTGGTTTCTCTCCTGTTTTTTTTTACTCTTCACTTTCGCCAATTGGTGAAGTTTGTTCCTCACCACTGTCGTCACTGGCTTGCATGGTTTAGGATCTGTAGAGCTGTGCATGGATGGATTTGCTCTTCAGTGTTTGGGCTCTCAGTAGTAAATAGTAAACCACACTGAACTGAGCTAAACTGAACTGAACTTAAACTCTGAGAACTGAACTACACTGTTTACATTCACTATAATCTTCTAAGTTCAGCTGCACAATCTACCTTGTAAAAGTGCTATATAAATAAAGCTGAATTGAATATGTTATGTGAAATGTGCAAAGCTCACCACTTTGTGTGTAGTTACTCTGCATCTACATTTGGAGAATAAAAACTTGAGCATGCAAAAGATGCAATATGTGACGGGCCTGTACTGCTGCTTCACATGACATGATTTGCTACTTTCCAGACAAAACTTGATCTATCAAACGATGTTGATTGCTACTTTCTGGCATAGATCAAGCCTATCAACTAAGGGTAATATTGGCAAATGAACTGCAAGCCTGATTAGGGTTACCTGTACTGAAACATACTGCTCAATGGAACCAGCCATGGAGGGCTGTCGGGACCAATCTTAGTTTCTTTTGCAACTGAAGTGTGGCTTGTTTTAGCCATCCGAGATCTAATTTGCAAATGCTAAAAAGTCTCTTAATTTTGCAGTAAAATCTGTAGTCTTTGATCATTAGTTATGGATGAACACCAAAAGCCAGTTGAGAACAGTACAGATCAGGATTCACCTTGGCAGAGGTTTTGCCTGTGTCAGAAGGTTTGAGGCACAGTCCTGCAGTGTGGATTCATTGATAATGACTAAAATACAGAATCAATTAAAGCACACGTCCTGATTGAGCAGTTAGTCCAACAATAAACCACAGCCTGTTCTATACACATTGTTTAATTACTTTTCCCAAGAAGATAATAAACAGTTCAAAGACCGGTTATAAATTGTCCAGCATGTGTCTGGATAAACATGTACAATATAGTGGTGAGGTTAATCAAGTCTAAACTTGAATTGTGGACACTTACCCAGCCACTATCTGCACAACATAAAACATTAATTCAAAAATTGCTAAATCATTAACAAATTAATTAAGAGAATGAATGAAGAATTACACATGGTATTTATTACTATGACTAGTAAACAAACATTATTTTTATCATGCCCTGTCTTTAGAAGAAAAACTAAGAAATGTATATGAATCAGGTTGTTGTTTATTAGTATACTAAATGCTCAATTAGGATTTGTGGCTCTATTAGTTCTGGTATTAGTTCAGATAATAAAGAAATTCTGAATTGCATATGGGATATCTTAATATGCTTTTCTTATTTCAGCCCAATGTGTGCAATCACTTAATTTTGATATGGGCCTAAAAAAAAAATTTAACATTGAGAACCAATAAGGATCAGGCAGAGCATAAGCTCCCACTAGTGCAAGTCTGGAGAATCATTACTCCTAATGAAGAGGGCGGGATCATCGTTAAGCTAATTGACCTCTGTAGAGTACAAAAAGGCCAAAGGGCAACATCTCAGCAGTGCATCTAGCTGGTGAACAATGGCAACTAGCTGGTCTTTGCTTCAGTTTCTGGGACTTTGTGCCTGGTTTGGTGCTTTTTGTTCTGCTTCTCCACATTGGAAACATGGACGTCATCCTCATCATCCCCATCGTCCTCATCATCCTCATGGATTGACGGTGCAGCAAAGTGATTATCTTATTAAGGAGATTGTTCAGCCACAGGTCAGCCAACCACTTCCTGTGCGGGTTGAAGAGGTAGTGGTGAAAGCAGGGCCTGTTGACAAGTGTAGTGTAGCTGATTTGGGCCAGATTCAGTGTGGACCTCCTGGTATCAGTGGACCTGACTGTGAAGCCATCAACTGCTGCTTTAATGGACAACAGTGCTACTATGGAAATGCAGGTAAGAGCTGCTGTGGGTAAAGGAGCTCTGTTTAGCTGATGCCTTGTGTTAATCTGCTTGTACCTTGTTTCAGTCACTGTCCAGTGTATAAGAGATGGTCAGTTTGTGGTAGTGGTGGCTAGAGATGTTACAGTGCCTCGGCTGAGTCTGGATACGGTCAGTCTTCTGGGTGGGAATGATCCCCCTTGCAGTCCTGTGGCGTCCAACCCTTACTTTGCTGTATACCAGTTTCCTGTCAGTGCTTGTGGAACCAACGTGATTGTGAGTATTGAGCTGCTGATGAATGCACTTCTACATGGACTGGATGTGATAGGTCTTCCTGTTTGCAGGAGGAACGTGGACATGTGGTATATGAAAACAGAATGGTGTCCTCCTATGAAGTGGCCATGGGACCGCTCGGCTCCATCACAAGAGACAGCCAGTTTGAGTAGGTGATATCTGCTCTTCTACTGCATGTGTGTGTGTCTAATAAATGCTACAGGCTCCCTATCTGTTGTCCAGGGTTCTGTTCCAGTGCCGGTACTCTAATACAGCTGTGGAAGCTCTGGTTGTGGAGGTCAATGCTATTCGTGCACCTCCACCAGTCGCTGCTCTTGGACCCCTCAGAGTGGAACTTAGACTGGCTAATGGCCAATGTGTCACCAAAGGCTGTGCTGAAGGTAAACACTGGACCAGAGTCTGCCTGAAGTCTTCCTATTAGTTTCTGGATGAACATGTTGTTGTGTTCCACAGGGGACGAGGCGTACACATCCTACTATAATGAAGCTGACTACCCAGTCACCAAAGTCCTCCGGGAGCCTGTGTATGTTGATGTGCACATTCTGGAGAGGACTGACCCCAACATTGTCCTGATGCTGGGTAACTGCTGGGCAACATCAACCCCCAATCCACTCAGTGTGCCCCGGTGGGATCTGCTGGTTAATGGGTGAGTGCAGTCCTAAGCTGAAGCCCAGTTAGTGATGCTAGTCCTGACTCCTATGGTGCTTTCTAGATGCCCCAACCAGGATGACCGCTACCTGACCACACTGGTTCCAGTGACCGCATCATCTGGTGTTCATTTCCCCAACCACCACAAGCGCTTCATTGTCAAGATGTTCACCTT